CCCCACATACCCCTCAGTATTCTCGCCTTCCATCTTCAGCAACCCATCCTGGGTGGCTGCACTGTTTCACCTTACCCCTTTTTTCGCTTAGTGGGGGGTTGAGTCCAGCTGGGTCCACTCGGCAAGGCGGCCACTGATTGGACTATTGTACCTGCTCCGGGCGATTATGATGATGGAGAACTTGGTTGAATGAAGATTGGCAGGGGAAACCGAAATACTCGGAGAAAACCCGCCCCAGCGCCAGTTTGTCCACCACAAATCCCACTTGAACAGACACGGGATCGAACCCTGGCCGCCGCGGTGGGAAGCCAGCGACTAACCGCTTGAGCTATGGCGCGGCCTCGCCTTACACCTGACACTAACCAATGCTTACAGAAGTTGCACTGAAGGAAATGGATACGACTGGAAATACAACACAATATGAAACCACGATACGATATTTGTACGTTATCCTGACGATTGTTTGGACGCCCGGATGTCATCGTACTCCCCGTCACTGAAAAGTTGACCGATGGAGTGCACTACAAAAGTTGAACGACCAAACGAACTTCCCAGTTGAGTGCGGATGTCGGATGGGTCCATGCACTGACGGGTCAAATAATTTAATTAATGAAGTTCGATCTTGTGGGGTATTACACCGTGTAGTACGTTGAATAGCAACCGGCGTTTCGGAGGAATATGTCGCCTCCATTTTCAAGGTCGAAGTACAACCCAAGCAAGAGACCAGCGTGAAGGAAGTGGCAAGTAGAGGTCGGCTGACTTTCAACGGAATACGCGGCCTTGTATCCCAGAAGATAGAGCTCTTCATAACCACAGATGTGAGAACCTCAAATCCTACAATTAATGACCTTTCCATGTAAAGCCACGTATTTTTTATTTTACGGATAGCTGAAAAATAAAATGTTTTGTGCATTATTTGGTGTACATATATTTATCTGCCCTGAACTCTCAAGTTTGCCGGCGCTACCAGATTTTGTGAGAAGTAGTGGGTCTAAAATGGGCTCCACTCAGCCTCGTGAGGATAATTGAGGAGCTACTTGGATGAAAAATTAGCTGCTCCGGTCTAGAAAACCGAGTTTAACGGCCGTGGGGATCCGTTGCGCTGACCACGAGACACCCTCTATCCGCGAAATGTGGCACTAACTTCGCCGACAAACGGCGGCCGCTCGGTCGTATAGTTAGCTCGCGGATTAGAGGCCACGGAGTTTTTATTTGTTCTCTGAGGTATGACTGACTGAGAACATATATCCTGAGAACCCTACCGGCAGAGACCGCTTGAAAGACCCTTGGGTATGGCATGCAGTTCACGTTAAACTTGGATAGAGTTGAGACGATGTGAAATACACTGAACTGAATTAGCACAGGTTTCAGTACACGTCTATTCTGTGATTGTGAGTCGTCGGTTTCCAAGACAGCAGAGGACATAAAACTCGTCGGGAAAGCAAGAAAAACGTAAGGAAATTCCCAGGGTAAAATAAATGCATTTTGGGGAATCAAGTCCCAAATGAAAGGATAATATTAAATATACATATCTGAAAACTAGATCATGAAAGGGAAAACGGGATTGAAATGATTACCTCTCCCTCTTGATTTAAATTCCAGTCATAAAGAAACAAATATCGTGGTTTAATTATTGACACCTTTATACCGTATTAGTGAGTTTCCAGTTCTGAATCTTGTCCCGGAGGCCGGCTACTCTGTGCCTTTAGTTCCTTTAAGTAAATACAGGTAAAAGAATCTTAAACCAGTTCACAACTTTCTTTCTTCATTGTCATATTCGAAAGTATATAACAGGTGCAAAATACCGTAAAATAAACTATCGGAAGGATCCATGCAAGGAAACTTATCCTTTCTGATTTTCTTAGCTATCGGCTGCTACCAGAACAAGATATCTCCACACGAATATCAAGTGAAGTTGTGTTACGCCACTGACGGCACTGCAACATTTGTTTGCGAGGATCCTGCAGGCACTGACATTGGAGGAAACTCCTTACCGTACCAGTAACCATTTGTCAAGAAATCATACCGTCCATTTTAAATGAATAAATGGACGCAGTTCAGGTCAACAACATCAACTGACCTCATCTTGTCACATATGAAGAATCGAAGTGAGACTTCCTTCAAAGACAGTTCACATTCGTATGGCAGATGAGATCTGGCATTAACACATGAGATTACGCCAAGAAAATAATTTTACGCAAGAATTACACCGGTAGCAATCAACTGGTTTAAAGCAGTTTAACTGCTATGATCATTCTTGGCTCTCATGACGTTAGAGAAACGAAACCAAAACTTCTACCGCAACTCGGCTTCCTCAGGTAAGTATGTCATTTGCTCCACACCAGAAACAGCACTGACTAGAACTTCTGGAATTAGGTAACTGACTTATATTTCCTGCACACCAGACACACCGCCATGGCTCAGCTCCTGGATTTGCTCCACACCAGACACAGCAGTGACTAGAACTTCTGGAATTCTACCGCAACACTCAGCATCGGAACTAGATTTTCTTTTATCCACTCTGCACCGACCCCACGGAAAACACAGCCTATATTTTTGACAAACCCTGTTCACTGCGATCTTTTCTAGCAATAGATCTCCTACTGTTCGGCGAATTTGCTTCTGCGGGAAATGTGTTTAGAGACCCGTTGCCTAACGATGGACATCGCGCAGGCCACATAGAAAACACTTCTTGCAATACTTTTCCCATTATTGCGTGGGCGCATTTCGGGCGTTGTCTAGAAATGGATCTGCATGTAACAATGTTAAGCCCAATTTTCATCATCACTAATAGGCCTTAGGTTTTAGCATTCTGCTCCGGGCTCTCTGAGTCTTCCATGTGACCATTCTCTGCCCCAAATTCTGTATACATTTGTTGTGTCCCCATTCATTAAGCTGCAAATAAAATTTTTGTATCATTAAAAATTTGCATTCGGCTAATCTATTTGTTTGTGTGAACCTGCACCAACTTTTAATTAAATAGTACGTACATAAAGGATGTTGGGCATCTAACTTTATAAGATTGACACATGATCGTAATCTTGGTGTCCTATCTCGGGAGATTAGTCTGTAAATGGTCACAGTGAAGAGATACTGGAAAGTACAAAGTAGAGTGTGATTGATACGTTCGATATCATGTAAGTGGGGCCTTTATCATATAACACCGAAATTTGTTGTTATCACCGGATAGTCTGTGTTTATTCATTACAATGACTAATTGCGAATCAACGGCCTGCTACTAGTACACGTATCTGCCGAGTTTTGATAACCAGAGGTCATCATATAGGTAAAGGTACAGTTGTCCCTTTGCTTAACTAATTAAGCACTACTCCATGAAGTCGTATGGGGGAGTGGATATATAAATCCACATTTTCTTGGCATCGGCACTAGTTGGAGGTGTCACCGTATAATTTTCAAGTCACAACTGCATGGACCAGCAACGTTACTATTCGTCGCTATGAAACTAAGGTGTATAGAAGTTTGGGTTGCCTCCAAAAGCAAGGCATTTGTATAACATTTCTTCAAAATCTGTCAAGCGATTCTTGACTTCAAACACACGAACTAACGGATCGACAGACATAACCACTTTTTCATGCGTTCCTTTCATGCACTTCAAGAAAAGGGCGGGTTAATAATTAACCACACGGACCACAGCCCACTTTAGGAAGCAAATAGTCCTCCAGGCGGGCCTTTTATGGTAACCAAACATTTATTAGCGTCTCCATTGGACACTAACTGAGAGAGGGCCAGATGAATCCAGGCCACATAATTTTACCCTACTTCTTAAGATTAATTTCAATATTAATGCGTCGGTCTGCAAAATGATATCGCTTTCCAGATTTTATGACTAAATTTTATATGTATTTATTGTTTCTTCTATCTGGCGCCAGTCATTCTTTTTGACAGACAACAATAATTTTCGTGGCAACAGAGGGGGATGATACGGAAATAGTATCAGTATTATCAGCATCATCATAATCATCATCTTGTATACAACTTCCCTTTGCGATTTTCTCACTCCAGTAAGTTTCAGTAATTGGACACAGTCTTCGGCCAGTTCCTTTTTCCTGTCACTTTAACATTCTGCTCTCTTCAGATTCATTTTAATATTATCTCCCATCTTCCCCGTCCTACAAAATAAACATATCCAAAACGTTACCCATAAAAAACATTCTGTATATGTTGTATCAGGAGCCGGGATAGCGTAGTCGGTATAGCGACTGACTAAGGTCCAGACCGGCTCTGGGGCTCACACAGCCTCATATCCGATGGGAACCGTGGGCTATTCCCCCGGGTTAAAGCGGCAGGTGCGTGAAGATGACCGCTCAACTAAATCTAACTTCGAGGTCAAGAATGATGGACCTACACCTCCACTCCCCCATAACCCTTCGTGGCGTTGTGCTTAATTAATTAAGCACAGGGACAACTTTACTTTTTTACATGATGTACCTCTATATGAATTAATTAAACCTCCAGCCAGTCGTGTAAAGTAACTATAATTTTGCAGCTGTAAGTTCGCGGTTTCGATTGCCGATGAGGTTATTAGATTTTTTAATTGACCTAATAATTCGAGCAGCACTATAGGCCTGGGACTGACTTAGCTTCTAACAGAAATAAATACTAGGAATCTTCCTGGGTTGTAAAGGGAGGCAGGCGCGTAAGGCTGACAATCTCACTGCCAGCTCTGAACTGATTGTCTAGAAAATGTGGATCCTCGCCGTCTCACAAACCTATGGACCTCCATGGTATGTTACAGGGATAGCTTCACCTTTTTGTTTTAATTATAATTGCAGGCAACGCCTCTCAGGTTTTGAACAACTGTCATTAAATGTATTGTTACATATGAGAAGTAGGTTTGAACTTTGAAATGTCTGCAAGTCACATGAAGATTATCTTCATATTCTGTCCTGCTGATAATAAGAAAACGGTGGCGAAGTATTCATGTGAAATTTTTTATCAGTCATATTTAAAGAGTTTCATGAGAGATAAACTTGTTTTTGCAACAGTGAAGAGAGACAACGAAGTAGTGACTTGAGAGTGGTGAAACTTCACTAATCTGGCCGCGCTGAAGACCAGGTAAATGAAACTTAAAATCAGAAAGTGAGAGAAATTTTATGCCGTAACACAGATTGACCTGTAGTTACATTCAGTGACTTCAACGCTTGTGTTACCTCTCTGCTGAGCTCTGTTAGCCAGACTACGGCGCCTTATGTGTTTGTTTATGCCCGATGCATTTGCTCGAATTTCATAGGCGCAAGAACAACGTACAATATTCAAAATGCGAATTGCAGAAAAGCCTTTTGTGTGGTATTTCGGGACGAACAAATTCAGACGTAGATGACTGGATAATATTAAAATGAATCTGACAGAAATTCACCTGGATAGTGTGGACTGGTTGTGAGATGCTTATTTACGAAACAACATTTTTGGGAGACCTAAGTGTAGATGGACGTATATTATTAAGATGGACGTTTGAGGCGTGATGGCACGGACTACATTCATATATCTCAACATACAGGGTAGTGACAAAATGTCGCCAGCACTGAACCACTGGTTTCATGAAACGCGAAAAATTTATTTACTACCTGATCTTCACAGGTCTTTGTCGAATGGAGTTAGTTATGTATTAATGTAATTTAAAAGTCTATTTTATGAAACAGTCTGATACAACTATAGTTTAATCCATTTAATAAAATATTTGTTTCGCTGTGCAAGTTTCAGTGCAATTCTTACATCTTCAAGGAAATTTAAGTATAACAGCCATTATCCAATTCAAATTCTATGATTCAAATACAATAAATTTTATATTTTTCATTAGATTTCTAGGTATGCTCCTTGTGTTAAATATCTGACGATTATTTGTAAGTTCGATATTTTTGTCCTTTGATTGTTTTACAAGCTTGAGATGTCTGAGATATGCAGAGAGGATTACATATATTCTTTTGCATCCAATATATTGCTATTTGCTCCCCTATTATATTGCTGTGCCGTGAGACTAAGTGATTAGAAATTGCCTAAAACTAAATGTACATCTCGCTGTCACGGTAGCCGAGCGGTCTAATGCATGCACTGTCTTCGCTAGCTCGGAAACCGAGATCGTGGGTTCGAATCCCACTCAGGGCATGGATGTTTGTGTGCGTTTTTCTGTGTTTGTCTACAGGTAGAGGCCTTGCGACGAGCTGATCACTCGCCCAAGGAGTCCTACCGAATGTGTAAGATCTAGAAAAACCGAAGTGAACGGAGAAGTTCATGGAGATAGGCCTAGGCCCAAATTGGGGCTGTAGCGCCACAGGAAAAAAAATGTACATCTCAGATAAAACTTACTGCATGGATATGATGAAATTAAAATCGGCGATAAAGTCATGAAGTTAGTTACGTCTGTTCTATTCATTAATATTTCAGGTGAAATGGCTGCAGTCAATTCGGACAGTGCTGGGTGCATCATGAGTGTTCTGGAGTGTCCAGTTTGTATGGATACCATGAGGAGCCCAATATTACTGTGCCAAAATGGCCATAATGTTTGCAATGTGTGTAAATTGAACCTTACAAACTGCCCAACATGCAGGGCACAATTTACTGGGACAAGAAACTTAGCTTTGGAGAAACTGTCTCAAGAAATCCGGGTTCCCTGTGCCAACTCAGAAAGAGGATGTACAGAGAAGCTGTCCATTCAAGACATAACGAAACACAAAACTTCCTGTCCCTATCGGCCACACAAATGTTTGTTAGGACTTCCTAATTCTTGTTCTTGGGAAGGACGTAGAACCGACATTTTGCTGCATGCCAAAGAGAAGCATAGAGGTTCTGTTTTCCAGTCTAGAGTCAACATATTTTCGATTTACAAAAACTGGAAAAAAACATTGGAATGTGAGATCTTGTGTACATTGTCAGAAGAAATATTTTTGTTGAGAACTAAGAGAGACTCCAAAAAACGAAAATATTATGAAGCAGTGCAGTATATCGGCCCTGCAGAAAGCGCATCAAAATACAGATACGAACACCATCTAGTATCACCTGAAGGCCACAAGGAGATGACTGTCAACTGTGCAGTCCGAAGTGACACAGAGAGCATGGAACGAATTATAGAAATAGGGGAATGTTTCACTATCGACTACGATACGGCGAAAGCATTTGTTGGCAGAGAGGGCAGGATAGGATGGACAGTAAACATCAGACATGAGCCATCGTTCGGTCGACATCGTTCGCCTGAGGTCTACAGACAGCAGTTCGGTCTAGATAGTTCGCCATATGTCTCCACATGGGAATCTTCATTTTGTTCTCCACAATATTATCATACGAACTAGATCTTGTATTAGAATTGCCTGTCAAAAATACATGATTTATTTACCTTGAATTTCACACTTTTTCAAGGATTTTCTACAATTTTCATAAAACATCCTGACCACAATACTGCCATGCATCGGAATCATTTTTGAAATATTTTCATAAAAACTACATTTATATTACAACCGAGAACAAACACTGCAGTCTATTAAATATCTAAGATATCTATACTTTGATCAGTCGCTACTGATTTTCCATGAAATTCGTTACTAAGATTTTTATTCGATCTCTCAAATCTATAGCAATTCAATATTGAGGTATATTTTTAATTTCTCTGCTTTGCCTTCGTTCTTTATTGTAAATTAATAGATTATGGCCGTTAAACAGTTGAGTAAATTAGATTCTTCACTAAGAAGAGGCTTATGCCAAATCTTACATTCAGTTGTATAAAACAGCATATTTTCATTGCTCCGTCGGCAGCTTTAGGAAATTCTGTACTTGAGGATGAAACTAGTCGTAACTCTGGAGGTGGACTTTTCCCCCGGGCACGCTAATCGAATTTTTTCCACTTTGAGGAGATAAGCCACCCTTGAGTCTCTGAAGCACAGAATCGTTTGTTTTTCGTTTGCAGCTGGAGGACGCAAATTTCTGTAACCCCTTACCCCCAGTTCGCTGAAAACAACCCGTTATAACCTGGAAGAGGATATCTTTAGTTAAAATTATTGGGATCAAATATAGGCACTTTGTATATAGAAGATTGGTTATAGAGCTCTGTAAAAGAAATAAGCTATCCCTGTAACAGGCTTCGGGGGCCCATAGGGTCGTGAGACGTCGAGGTTCCCCTCATTTTCTAAACAATCGGCTCACAGATAGCGGTGAGGTTGCTAGTCTTATGCGTCGGCCACCCTTTACCCCACGAAGATTTCTGGTACTCATTTCCGTTAGAGACCGAGTCGACCACAGGGCCATAGTGCGGCTGGAAGGTTCAGGTGAATTGAAAAATCCCATGGCTTCGTCGGGAATCGAACCCGTGACCTTCCAGTTTGTAGCTAGTGCCTCAACCAACTACACTACCGAATGCCCCTATAGAAATGTGTAGGGTCCATAAATCAAAGATTGATTCCGAGTAACGCCCCACTTGAACTTTTATTCTGAACGCTTGAAACCTTTCAGGTAATCAGGGATATTTGTCGTCGAAATTGATTTACATCAATCAAGCTTTTGTTTATTTAAAGAAATTAAATCACGGTTTCTATTGGGTTACATGATATAGAAATAGATTCTAAATGGTTCTGACGATGGTGCATAACACTCGGAATTAGTGGGTGTTTGAACTTGGTTGTCCGGTGATTAAGATTAGCTCCTTCTAAGGGACCCAGTAGGTGTCTCCCCACTCACCTGAGGATGGAAACAAATCCAGTTTCCGAAACGTTGTGTTCTCTAGTTTAAAAAATACCTGATAGTGCACAAAGTCCAAGAACCCAGTAATTCAGACTGTACTACTACCTCCGTAGTGATCACAATGAACTTGTATGTTTGGAAACATACCTGTGTAAATAAATCTATGTAAAGTGATATTTGTGTTAAGATTGTATGAATCGATTAGTGTGGAAGTGCAATTCCTGATCGCCCTAGTTACAGCCTACTTACACGACCCAAGGAAAATCAAATGCCTACTCTGGTTTAAGCCACACAAGCACCCACTGCTAACGGGGACCAATCCTACATTTCATAGTATTTCATTATCTAGGAATATCTTATTTGTGCCCAACAAAACCCTATAACTAACTGTCCTATCTTAAGCAGCACCATTTTTTTTCCTTGGCACTACAGTCCCAGTGGGCCTAGGCCTACCTCCATGAACTCCGTTCACTTCGGTTTTTCTAGATCTTACACATACGGTAGGACTCCTTGGGCGAGTGATCAGCTCGTCGCAAGGCCTCTACCTGTACACAAATACAGAAAAAAACGCACACAAACATCCATGCCCTGAGTGGGATTCGAACCCACGATCCCGGCTTCCGAGCGAGCGAAGACAGTGCATGCCTTAGACCGCTCGGCTACCGTGACCGGCTAAGCAGCACCAATAGCAATCCCGTACCTACAATTCTAATACAAACTCAGCCTACCACCTTTCGATTACTAATTATAACCTGAAAGCTCAGGAGACAATTACAGCCGTTATGGAGACAAGTGACGCTCAGGGTTAACGAACGGCTAGAAGTCACTGGCAAAGCAATTCACACGTTCAGCCACTGTGTCCCTACTGAGACGAATGTGTTTTATATGCTTCACTTTGCTACGGGCAACAATCTCCACAGATTCAGTGAAGCATTCTTGAATAAATTGGCTTTCTGTGAAAGGTGTTGAGTGTGAAGAGAAGAATGCAATGCTTGGTTTCACTGCTGCTTTCCTTGTTTTATGAACTTCGTGGAAAATATTTGGTGCTTTTATAAAGTACATTTTGGTTCACATCATTTCCCTTCCTTATTTTCCCCATTTCTTTATGAGTTCCAAAATGACGCCGGGCAAGATCTTTGCAAATAATATTTACTTGCACAAGCGATACACAATACTGTCTTTAATCTGAAGAAGTATTCCACCTCTGACATATTTTGAACCCTCTATTTCTGCGCTTTATACTTAAATATGACTCTGACACACATTTTATGTGAGCTACAAAACATAACACAAGACACTGAACAATGGCTATTCCTTGATCAGGAAGGAAACCAATGGTTCAGGAATGCAGGTCTTCGCTGCGATATTTACTCACCCACATCGTTGACTGTCTCCAAGGCCAGATAATAACCGGAAAGGTGTGTATTTCTTAGTCATCTTCATTAGGTGTCCTTAAAATACAGGGCTGTTTGGAAAGTAACATCCGGCGAGCTGTTAACAAAATAAGCAATGAGTAAAAATGTATTATATACAAAAATACATACATACTTAAGCTACTTCTCAACGTAGTCACCGTCGGAACTGAGGCACTTGTAAGGAGGAATAAGTTCTTGTATGCCTGTGTGAAGCCGGTCACGGTAGCCGAGCGATCCAAGGCATGCACTGTCTTCGCTCGCTCGGAAGCCGGGATCGTGGGTTCGAATCCCTCTCAGGGCATGGATGTTTGTGTGCGTTTTTCTGTGTTTGTCTACAGGTAGAGGCCTTGCGACGAGCTGATCACTCGCCCAAGGAGCCCTACCGTATGTGTAAGATCTAGTAAACCAAAGTGAAACGGAGAGTTTCATGGAGGTAGGCCTAGGCCCAAATTGGGGCTGTAGCGCCACAGGGGAAAAAAATGCCTGTGTGAAAGCAGTCTACCGCCTGTGAGATCAGCCACGTTTTGACACCTTCCGTGAACTCATTATTGCTGAAGTGCTGTGATATCAACTAGTTCTTTAGGTAGGTAAACAGGTGGTAGTCACTCGAAGCGAGATGAGGGCTGTTAGGAGGGTGGTCAAACAACTCCCAGTTGAAATGCTCCAGCAGTTCTCGAGTGCGAGCAGCTGCATGCGGGAGCGCATTGTAGGAGCGCTACACCGTGTCAGCATTTTACAACCTTTTTTTCTGAATGACCCTATGAAGATTTTAGTGTTTTGCAATACACTTGTGACGTTATTGTGGCTCCTTGTTGCATGAATTCCAACATCAGCACTCCTTTTCTGCCCAAGAAAATAGATGCTATCGGCTTTCTGGCAGGTAGATAACTTTTATTTAAATTTTTTTCAGCTTGTTTGGTGAATGTGTGTGCATCCACTGCTTTTGCTGCACATTGGTTTCAGCATTCACTAATGAAACCCAGGTTTCATCGTCTGTTACTCGTACGATGTGATGGAGAAATTCATCGCCATCTTTGTTGCATCGCTCTGAAAGAGTCAAAGCCGAAGTCATTCTCTGCGTTTTGTATGCACCTGTGAATATTTTCGGAACACATCTTTCGTGAAACTTGTGATAGTGTAACCTAACTGTGATAATCGTGTAGGGAAGAGTGCGTGAAATTTGTGGAAATTCACACGAAAGTTCTGAAATTGTGAAATGCCGTCTTTCACAATTTTTTTAGTCAACACTATGAACAAGATCATTCCTTATTATAATTAGCCGACCACTTCGATCTTCATTGTGAATATTTGTTAGCCCATATTTGAACATTCTGCACCACTGCCTTACATTTCCTTCACTCTTTAGGGTTTGACCACAAACCACGCATAATTCAAAATGCTATTCCACGGCATTCATATTTTAACAAGACACTAAAGATATAGTGTATAAGTTATACTTTTAGTGTATTAATGACATTCTATATTGTTAACAACATAGTAAAGTATTAAAGTGGCACTTTTAGCGAGAAACATATTTTAGATGGTTTCATATTTAAAAAAAAACATTTCTATATTATTGACGGGTGATTTAATATCAAGGATAATACATGACGAATAGTTTAATAATTTATATTCTTCATATGAAGTTGGTATGAATGTTAACTCAAGGATGATGAGAGCAGATGTGCAGGTAGCATGCATGGGAATGCTGAGAAATATGGTCAAAATTTGGTAGGAGATCCTGAAAGAACAGATAATTTGACAGAGCTACTACCCTACAAATTTACTATTCATGATGGCGACTTGATGCAGGATGGCGTCTCTGACAGGAGAAAACAATTACGGACGGCGTGAAATCAATCACACGGTACATCTGCGCCATCCGAACGCAAGAAAAAATGATTTCGCATCAGAAACCAAGGTAAAGGCAACTGTCCAATGACAAAACCGATACGGTAGATCGCTATTTAAGGACGTCCTTGGTTGTGGCAATACTTCCGTTCTTCTTCACAGAAATAAACACCTCTGAAGTAAAAATGGCTTATGGAGACTACGGAATATCACGTGACTCCCGGGCATCACTGACTTCATTATGGACAACACTGACCGATTGGAAAAACAGCTAACAAACTATTCAACTAGGCACACTAACTGCTTGGCTAACTAACAAACTACACTGTCAGATTAACAATCAAATTCCTTCCGTCAAATGTGACACTTTTTTAAGTTTTCCACCTCGTCACCACCTGCCTTACATGTTTCGGCTCACCACGGAGCCATCATCAGAGGCATTTATAGTAGAAAAAGAAATCACCAACACACAAAACTTCACTTTGTCCAAGATAGCCACGTTAATTGTTAATTGGTTAGTGTGACGGACCAGAATGAAAGACCTTAAACTTAATACACTGTCAGAATTGACTAACTTGGTAACAAACAAATTCTATGTGGGACTGAATAATTAAGGAGCCCATCACTTGTCTGGCTAATCAGCGGACGTAATAATGAAATAAATAATTGCCGATCTAGAGCAATTAACACACTAATACCTAACTGTATAGATGACTTCAAAATAACTGGCCAGTAAAGGTTTATATATATATTTTTTTTCCTTTGGCACTACAGCCCCAATTTGGGCCCTGCATACGTTCATGAAACCTTCCATTTCACTTCGGTTTACTAGATTTTAGACACTCAGTAGGACTCCTTGGGCGCGTGATCAGCTCATCGCAAGGCCGGATTATATTATTACTCCCTACATAGCTGGCCTTGTAGCCACTCTCTTAAGTACAGAACAGACTACCTAATTAAATAATTAATTATACCTACCGAACAAACTGACTAGATAAATAATTAATTACGAAATTAAATAAAAAATTAAAGACAAATTTATTATATTTTCTGATAAGTAATTACACCACATTAATCATATATTATTTCAAGTTTCCTTGTAGCCACCCTGTTATCCAGTGTGTGTCTGCAGCAATCTACAACTTTGCTGATTTCGTCGGAAGAAAATGTTCCTCGTTGGGTTTAAGACCTT